GGGGGGGGAGGGGGTCAGGTTAGACCATTCAAAAATCCGCCCGGGGGAGCACTAAAACAGACAAGACATAGCTCAACAAAGAACTAACAAAAAACCAACTACCCAAAACACGCCATGCCCCAGGGCCGGCGGATTGCAGTTGCTGTTGTAGATGTGCAAGTACCACACTTGAGCTGCAGTTTGCAGGTCTACCACAAGTACATTTGCAGGTTGCAGGCTTCCTCTTCTAGAGCTGCTGCTTTAGGTGTGGCTTTGTTTGCTACACTTGCGATTCTGGATGTGCTGCTGCTTGAGATGTATTCCTGCAGTTGCACATTCCTTTGTGTTGCTGGGTGTCGCTGATTAGCTTGGCATCAGCGTTGTCGCTGGAGTATTGCCTGTATGCTTCAGGACCTTTGCAAAATCTTTCATGTAACTTTCGCTGGGATCTTGCTTTATCAGACGCACCTGCAAAACATATCGTTTCGCTGGGGCTTTGCTTCAGCAAACGCATTTGCTACCTAATTATGCTCGCACACACACAGTACGCTGGTGAGCGGGTTGACTGGCGGTGTCCACGAGGCTTGGTGTTACATTGTTCTATCTAGACTGGCGAAATTACAGCCACTCGTCGTCTAGTTTCTTGTTTGTTGTTGTCAGGGAATATGGAAGTCAACGAACTGCCATGAGCCAAGGACATTGCTTTGAATGCCAGTCGGAGCAATTCTTCAAAGCCCTTACACCCCGTTGGGCGCCAAGTTTCTTCATCGTTCCACATTGCACGAACCCACTTTGTTTTATTGGCGTTGTTGCTTAATTTCTTGATCACTGTAGGCCGGGATGCGAAATATCGAAGTGCACTTCACCCAGCTTGGCAAGTCAAGTTTCCCTGAACTGAGAGTGCGTCCTAGGGCCGCTTTGAGCTACTAGACTGCCCCGCGCTACTTAGTTACTTAAGACTTAAGCTCACCTTGCCAATCTGAATGAAAAAACAACAAAACACTACAGTATGTTTAGATTGGTTCAGCTCTAAGGCCAAGGCCAAATGCCAACGAGGACAAACGAGGTGAGATCAACTTCAACGGATTTTGACACGAAAAACTCAAAAGTTCCAGACAAGAACCTAGACTCCAAATGGAGACAGAACTTCCCAAAACGAACCAAGAGACTTTGATGAGAATTCAAGAGAATGCTGGAAGAGATTCTGTCAATTCATGAAAGGTTGCGAAGCTGAAGCTTTGGAGGCCGTCAGGGTGTGTTTGGGGTGGGTTTGCTTGGCAGTCGAAGGCATTGCCAAGGCACGCAAGATTTGTGCTGCATCAACACTTGTGTTGCATCAACACCCTGGTGCGAAGGTTGTTGCACTTTCAGGAAGACTGAGGAATCTACCACAGCAGGAGGGCTGCTATTCAGAACTTGATGAGTTTTACTGATGTACACCTATGTAGATTGCACATTCGATTTTTTCCTCAAAGCAGTCAGTAAAAAGCAGTGTCCTTCGACTCACAATCCATTTCGGCATTCTTTTGTTTCATCCAACTCATGTCTTTCGGATATTCTTTAATCAGGAGCGGCGTGCTGAACTTGCTGCACTTCCACCCCACCTACAGCAAGCACTGAAAAAGTATTTGCTCGAGGAGCTGAACAATCTTTCTTTTCCGCTTTCGCTTTGCTTGGAAACAGTCCTCGGTTGCAAGCCTGGAATTTGGAGTGAATCAGGAAAAGGCTAGATGTGCTGAAGCTTGCCTTCTGCGCGGCGGTTCCTCCGGAGAAAAAGTTGCTGCAAAGCTCTCGACGCTTGCACTTGTTCCTTTAAAAAATTCTCCTCAGCTATTTGTTTGCAACACTGTAGGGCAATGCTGATGGTGACGATGATCATTGTGGCACGCTTCTGAATTCAACAGAGACTACAATTGAACAAGATGCTTTTCAAGATTCAGGGGTAGCACCACAGCACGTAGAGGCTATCAGATTCAGAAAATGATTGCACCTTGTGGCCTTGGTTTCGAGCTCAGTTTCTCCCAGTCTCATCCTTGCAGCTATATAGCGACAGCTGAACCAGGTCCTTGCCATTCTGCCGGCACATCAGACTGTCAAATGTTCCCAGCCAAGACAATCACCGTGACTGAACATGTGCAACAAGCAAGACAACAGGTCTGAATGGGATGAATGGTGCTGAGCTGAGAAGCCACAGTTTGTGCATCGACAAAGCTCTATGACGCTGCACGTTTCACATCAGGTCCCAGTGCAGCGCACGGTGTGGCACAGGGTCCAAGTCAAGGCACTGGTAGCTTCGCAACTCAATGACATGACGTTCTGCGCATGCACAGGTCACGAAGCATTGTTTCTGATGCGATGTTTGGCGGGGCTCCATGCACTTAGCTCAGCTGAAAGAGCTATGTAAGGATCCAAATGCAGAACTATATACTGTGTATATATATGTATATATATGTATATATACAAATATATATACATATATATATATATGTAAACAGTTTGTAGAAGGGGTCACCTAGAAGCTTCAACGCCAAACCCTTCCAGGTGAAGGTCCTTTGAAGGAGCTGGATCGTTGCGAGCCATGACCGGCAGGATTACCAGCATCGCATGTGCATGGATGCTACCAACCAGCCAGCATATTAAAAACATATATCATTAGAAGCCTTAGCCGTTGTGTGCCAGGGTGAGCGAATGCAACCTCGTCGACTGCGCTTGGGGTGATTGGTGAGTGGCTGAGTTCTGCTGAGTCCTCTATCCCAAGCGGGCAAAACCACTGGTGCCTTTTCACGCCCTGAATATTTTTTGGTGCTGGTAAACGTGGCTTGTTCAGGGCTGGCTGGTCAGACTGCTCCTGTAAATGTGGTGGTGGTACGAAGCGCCGAACGAGAGTGGCTTTGACGGAATAGATTGTGCTTTTGTCAAGGACATGCCTCACCGATTCAGTGCTTCCTTGTTTTTGTCTCAGAACGTTGTTCAAGCTCCTCGTAATGGTGGTCAACCCTGCGAGCCACAGGCAAGGCTTGCTGGCACCGAAGTTTTCACTGCAACTAAAGAGTTTGCAGGACAAAGAGGAAGCGGAACCCTGCAACACCGAGTCAGAGCCCAAGACAGTTGAAGGCAAGTTGAACAGCATGGTTCCTGTAGAATTTCTCGTTCTCAGCCTTGTGTCTTTCTACATTGTTATAGTTATTCCTGTTTAGGCCATGTGGACAAGGGTGCATCGATGGGAAATGGGGAGCTGAGCACTCAACTGCTTTCATGGACTGTTGACACACGCTGTCCACTGCAACGCATAGAGTGACATACAATAGTCACATCGTTCTGCCCAGGAATGGGGCACCTGGACTCAGTGCTCTGCAACCTGTACCTGGTCTGAATGTGGCTCACTGGACTGGTCAATCGAAAGTGTCCTCAGGTGCCAGCAGCTACCGATCCCGCAGCCGCAATTTGGAAGTCCAGCTTGCCGCCTAGGTCACTGCGAAGGTTCTCAGTGAGGAGCTTATCAGTTTGACTGCTTAGGCCAAGCCCATGTGGAAAAGCTGCCGCAGGGCACCGCGACGAGTGGGTGGCTCAGAACTGCAATAACCAAAACCAAATTCCTCCAAATTTCTCTGCATTGCAAAGCACTGAAACCGTGGGAACAGTCATACTGCAAGGTTTGAGGTTTGCAGTGATCTCCCGTGCCTTGGATTCTCGATCTTGCCATTGTAATTGCACAAAACGAAACTTGTAACTTCTTGTAACACAACCACTCATGAGACTAGTGTAGGTCATTAGACTTGAAACTGTTGAGACCCAGGCCCTGCATCCCAGATTCGGATTGCCAGCTGCACGAGTGGGGAGAGTGGCACACAGCTTAATGCACCATCGATTGTGGACTTGCATTCATTGATGTTCACTTCTTTGCAGGAGCCTTTTGACTAGTACTGGACAGTGATTTCACACCAAAGATCAAGAAAAACACCTGAGTGATTGAGAACTAGACACCTGGAGGAATGAAACTGGAGGAATGAAAGGGACATCTATGAGGAACAAACACAGAGCACATTCCAGATCGCAAAATGCACAAAACCGTCAGGGTGCCTTGGGATGGGAAGAGTATTTGAAAGAACACTTGGATAGAGGAGTCCGCAGGAAGGAAGGAGTCCCAAGGAGTCCAAAGCAGTCCAGCGAGAGATGCTGAAGGAGTCGGGATGCGACAAACTCTTTATCTATCTTTATATGACAGTGTCCCAGGATTTGACAAGGCTTCCCGCCTGTCCCGCCTCAAATGAACTTCAAACTGCATTGGCTTTCATGCCGAATTTAAGACAAGGAGGCAGGAGAGCGAATGCCCAAGCGGACCATACCATCATGGAGTCACGGCTACACCAGCGCTGTAGAGTTTGTACTGTTTATCACCACAACGGGGCAGAATTGTCAGGCGTTTGCGATTGTACTTAAAAAAACACACCCACACACACACATGTTTAAAAGCTAGTTTTCAAAGCCTTTGGCTTTTGAGCATTGCCAAGAAACATCAGTGTATCTGACAAACCATATCCTATGTGAACTTTTGGGGAGAGACGATTGTAGAAACTGCTATTTTGCAGCAAATCTCGCATAGCCAACACTTTTGTGTCGAAGACCAAATATGCACAGAGGCGTGTCTTGGAAGAGCAAGCAACATGACATGGGCGTGGCAGACAACAACAACAACAACAACAACAACAACAACAACCTCAAGCACTAGCCTAGAGCTTCAGTACAAAATTAGCTTGCCTTAAGGTCTCATTGCAGCTGCCATTGCTTTGGCATCCGTGAGAGGTCCTCGTATCCACTGTTAACATGTCCCGAAATGGGAGTGACTATTTTTCTGGCAGGAACCGCTACATCTCTCATTTTGCAACGGGCAAAGGAAAGCCTTGCCCCGTCACCGCTCTCAAGGCCGGGTTGTGACTGACACATACCCAGGCTTTCTTACGGTCAAGTATCTTCATACAATGTGTGTTCTTCCCACACATGCAAATCTATAATGCTACGGTTTTCATTATGCTCCAGGTGAAACAATCGCGACTGTCACAGTAAGGTAGAATTCCTCGAAGCTTTTTCCACTGTTGGGTCATTGATCTTCTTAAACAGAGACCTCGATTACTCAAACATGAAGACCTGTGAATGACTGCGACAGTACTTGTAGAAATTTCTGAGTTTTGGAAGGCGAGCAGGTTGCAACTGGAACACTTAAGGGCCTTCTTTCTGAATGCCTGAATGCTCCTAGTGACCTAGTGTCCACTTCGTTTGATTGAAAAACCATCATGCTGCCAACTAGGTTGCTCAATGTGTCGGAAACGTTTGCTTTTGAGAGGTGATCGAGCCATGCAACCCTGGGCCGTCCTGACCTCAGTGGGAGATTCACTTATTTAAATACAGTACTTGCTTTCGTACATCAACAGACTCAACTGACAACATTTTGATTTGTTTCTTTCTCAGGGTCACCCCATTCGATCCAGATGACAAATACTCTATGCCCATCCAGCTACAGGTGCTCAAAAGAACATTAATATTTTTCTTTTCAATACATCGTGCCCACCCGAGCAGTATCGTTCCCTGCCAGGATCCACCTTTAGATTGCCAAGAGAAACCGACGGAATCTCAGACGGTTTCAGCAAAGTCTGCTCGAGTTTCTGTCGAGCTGTATGTCGATATCACACTTATCCCAGGCCTGTGCATTGTGAGCTTCACCCTTGGAACGAGTGGCCCAGTCCTTACCCTGCTCCGCTCTGGAAGTTTGCAGTGTTGTGAGGGACTTTCCCTTTGCTGCTTGTTTTTGCATTCCAAAACGCTGTGTCTGGAGATCTGGATTTTCCAGAGTTTGCAGCCCTGCATTGACAGCCCATGTGTGAAAACCCATCCCCCTTCTTCAAAGCAAATATTGTGTGTGTGTGTGTTTAGTCACACCGTGCACGCAAACTGGCATTTGAGGGTCTGTCGAAAAGCAAGCCCAACATATAGAAAGCAAAGAGATATGAAGACCGCAGGCAGCTTTTTTGAGGTGGCTTGCAGTGTTTCCCATACACTGTTGCCTGCGTTTGCAAGTCTTGTTTGACCAAAATGGAGCTTCAAAGGCTTTGGTTTGTCAAAGGAGCGTCCGCGCTGATGCACCCTAGATGATGAGCATACGACTGCTTGCCCACTCCCTCAATGTACACGCTGGGGGCAGCTGAATTATTCAACAACGCCAACAGATTACTATTCTACAACTCCACATATACATACACGCGCATGCATCGGCATATCTGTCGTGCAGGCATGTCACCCGCTCACACACAGATATGTCTTGCCATAAACAAAGATACGGTTTGAGACTTTCCGTTGTCTCAGCTTCTGTTTACCGAAGCAGGACTCAATGCTCCAGCGAATGTGATGGTGGACAAAGAGAGCGCAGCCGCACTGCCAAAGACTCAGGTTGCAAATATCTTGTGGTCAGCATGTGCATTGTGTACGCCTTCTCCTGCGTTGAAGCATGGTGGTACATTTGGATGGTTCTTACGCTGTTCCACTTGCAGTGCAGTTTGTCGCCTGTTGGCAGCTGTTGTTGGTGAGAGTATTGAGGTGCGAACTGCTCCAAAACATGGTGGGAAACCCTGTAGCGATCCAAGTCAACTCTGTGTCTGTGCTCATGAATTTTGGATTTGCAGACAAAAGAGAGAACGTTAGCCCAAGAAAACGTCCTGATGCTTGTTGCCTTTGAGGCGAATCCGACTTGACTGTTGTGGAGCCTTGCAATGAGCAGCCTTGCCACCAGACCGTTTGTACGGACTGCCAGCAGACATCTTAGATATGGAAGCTGGGTTGGAGGAAGGTTTTGAAGTCATTTGGTATGTTTGGCTTGCTTTTGTCAGGTGGGGTGCCTGGAGCTCGTGGGGTGGATGCAGTAGGTGCCAAAAAGTGATGAACACTTCTGATCGTTTGCTGTTGGCTTGTATCCGCCAGGTGTGGAGGCCAAAAGTACCGGCATCGATCTATTGTCCAGATGGCCAACAATTGTGGCACTGGCCCAAGTCACCGTGTTTTGTTTGAAGCCATGCAGATTGCAATTGAAAGGCATGTGCTGCCTCTTTGTATGACTCGTCTTCTAGACTGTTCGTGCGCACCTTCTTTTGTAGCAATGCCTGCCTGCTCCACTCAAGCTTCCTGGCAACAGGTGAGACCCTCCCTCGGTTGAGCAAACGCAATTGAGCTTCGCGAACACTTTCCCTCTTCAGAGAGAAATTTTTGGAGGAATGTCCTGTAAGCGTTCAATAAGCAGCATTCCTGCAATGGGTGTGTGTGTGTATGTCACACTCTGTCCCAAAGAGTTTCTCGGTATGTGCAGGGGGCCAGCGCATGGCATCACGACGCTGGCCAACGAAGCTAGTGATGTCATGGGAAGCAGTCAGAGACGTCTGACTGTGTACCTGCGGAAGTTTTCCACACGCTGTGACTCCACTTCTCCTTTGTTTGATTTCATGGTCCTTGCATGATAGATCCCTAAACCTCTTTTTCCGCCGCTGATGTGCAGCCGCCTCGATGCTGAACGCTTCGCAGTCAAGTGAAACAGCCACTGTTCAAACATTCTGTTCATCGCAGACTGTGCCACCTTTCCGTTCCCTCACTCTTTCCTCGGGGAATTGATGTAACTGCAAACCCATTGTCTAAGTGTGTGCCGCTTTGTCGTCCCACTGGGTGCAGAGTGTGATCTCCCGCAAGGGAGCGCTGAGACCATTGGGAATCACATACTGACACAGCGTTCTCCGCACACGTTGGATTACCTTTTCTGGATTGAGTGCTTCACCCAATGAATTTCCTGCCACAACACCGCCGGGTCTACGGAGATTCAACACCGCCGGGTCTACGGAGTTTCTTTCCAGAGCTTTCTTTTCAGAGCTTTCAAGGATCGAATACCATGCAGCTGAACTTGTGCAATTTTCCATGCACTGTTACATGTTGGAATGATGATTTCCACGTCCCGTTTTTCAACATGTTTCGAACACCTTCAATCAGTTTGCGATGATTTTAACTGACCCCGGCCACCCACATTTCACATCCTTTCCTTTCACTGTTATCCAGTGACTTTTTGCTTGGCGCCGATTCTTCGTGCTGCCGCCGCCGCCGCTGCTGCCGACGACAACAGTGAGTTGAGAGTTCAGCAGCGTGCAATTCCCCTGGCCATATCCATACCCGCCACAACCTCCACCTCAGGCGATGCCTGTTGCACATCAGTTTCCACCGCAATCTACACCGTGCCATCCATTTCCCATGATGCAACATCCCACATGGCCTTCACACCCCACCTTTCCAACACCACCAGCCACATTTCCTCAGCCAGTTCCACGTCCGGCACCTGCTTTTCCAATTTCCTACAGCTTTCCTACTGCATTGCCACCGCAAGAGCTCTGCCATCCTGTTCCTCAACCACCTCTTACACAACCGACAGCCGCCTTTCCTTCGCATTTACAGCCACCTCCAGCCACCTCCCCTCCAGCGCCGGCCCCCGCCCAGCAATTTTCAGCCTTTCCACCAGTGAACCCATCCAAACCTCCTACCACCGCTCCGGCGCGGACCCCGGCCAGGAACAGACCGCGCAAGATTCCATCACTGCCACGCCAACCAATCCCACCCAAGGTCAGCCGGCGTCCACTAATTTGGCTCAAAACACAGCCACTCAGCAATCCTCTTCTCAGCAGACCACTTCCGCCCCCAACACTACCGACGCCAAAGCAACACAAGCAACACTCCTCCACCACTTCCCCTCCACCGATCACACCACAACATGCTGCTGCCGCCACGGAGGGCTCACCTCCTGTACCACAGCAACCTCAGTGCAGGCGACGCCGCCGCCGACGCCGCAGACATCACCAAAGAGGCCGCTCTGACCAACGCCATCAGCGCCGACAACCCATCACATTGCGCTCCAATACTGAACTTGCTGACCGAGACAACGACGCAGCTGCAGCCGCCACCTATCCTAAACATCCAAGCGTATGGCGAGTACTCAACTCCTGGAAAGAACCACCCCACTTCACCAGCAAGCCAGCTCAAGAGCAGCTTGAAATCTGGCTCAATTATCAAGCAGAGCAATTTGACACTCCCAACACCGCAACACTCCTACGTGGCCCGCCTTCTCATTGACAGTGGCCTCAGTTACTCTGATGTCTGCGACTACAAACAGTTTACACGCATCAAATGGAACAACGACACCAACCGCTATGACCCTTTCCACTTCAATCACATCGCCGTCCCCTCACTTGCAGCCAAAGCACATCAACGCTTTCCACCTCAACCTGCCCGCGCCACCAACACCACGTCCGAAATTGCCCACATCCCAGGAGGCCACACTGGCCCAGTCGGCAACGTCACCAGCGTCCTCCAACAGGGCCGTTTCCTCCCCAGCACTCTTCATTTTCAGCGCAACTCGCACAGGGCTTCTTGCACAGGGCTTTCGAACCACCCAACAATTTCCACGCGACCACGAAGAGAACGCCCCCGCAATCTTCAACACCTGGAACCTTGCCAAAAATTCCAACTCAATCATCGTCACACTTTTTGCATTGGGCACCGGCAAGAAGATCACTCAGGGAGGCGAAGAGCAACCCGCTAACCTCCTCCAACAACAACAACAACAACAACAACAACACAGTGCTGTCTTCCACCAAAATGGCCGATGCTGGGCCATCGACCCTAAGAACGCCATTGTCCGTGGCCTCGCCTGGTCAGCGGACGCCACTCCACCCGACCTGTGACAACATTTCTACATTTACCACACCGACCAACAGCCAACAACTTCACCTCTACAACTCACCACACCTGTCTCACTTCTCCCACACATACCGGATTCGCCCACAAGAAAAGCTGCCGCGGCCGCTGCTGACATTTCCCATGTTCGTTCTCCACGACATTCAAGTTTTGCCAGCTGGATCATGTGCCATGTCCGGGCAATCCAATGAGTTTGTGTGGTCGCGTTTGCTTTCTGGGTTGGTTTTTGTTTTTCCCGAGAGCGTCTGAGCGAAGGGTTCTTCAAAAAGAAGAAGGTGTAAATAGATCTATGACAGAGCGGCGCACACTTAGACAATGGGTTTGCAGTTAACTCTGTTCCACGAAGAAATGGATGAGGGAAACGAACGGTGAAGCGGTCAGCGCAACTGAAATTGTCGAACAATCAGTTCACTTGTCTGCAGAACGCGGCGGCGACGAGCTCAGCGGCAAAACATGGGTTTGTGGGGAGTAGCGTGAAAAACCACCATGGAAACAAAGAGCAGCGGAAAAAATCAAGAGTTCCAATCGCAAGTACACATCAGGACGTCTCCCGATGCATCACCAGAGAATGTGGACGTCTTCGTTGGCAGTGATTCCACAAACTCTGTCACTGCCCCCTGCTTGCATTGTGAACTGAGCAAGACTCTTAGAAACAGAGGGTAACACACACACACAGACACAGACTCGAGAAATTGATCGGTCTGAGTGCACCAAGCAAACCCTGGAGAAAACAGTTGCATATGCCAAAAGTACACGCTGCGGAGAAACCCACGTAAAAAGCACAAGTGTCCAGGGAGACACCCCGAAAGAAAGGGGAAGAAAGCCACAAGAGAAAGGAAAGATGAAGGGCGCCCCAGCTATGACTTGGCATCCAGAAGCGCCCCTGAAAGAGAGGAAGGTGTTTCCGGCCACGGGCCAAGTGGCCAGCAACCCACCTTGGAAGAAAACGAGAAAGAGAGCTGCGACCAAATATCGAGAGCGCGCCCGAACAAGAGGAAGGTCTTCCC